GGGGGGGGGCTGCCCCCCCCCCCCACACTGGGGGGTTAGTGTGAGGCGGGTCAGAGCCCCCGCCGCTCAGCGACCTCAATGTAGGTGGGGGCGCGGGGCGCGCAGCGCCCCCACACTGACGGTCTCATGGTGGCAGGCGTGGGCGGCAGCCGTAGGCCGCCACCGCAGCCGCCCACCCAATAATAATTTATTTGGGCCTAATTGTGCAAATTATACAAACAATATAGACAAGTTGAAGTTCTTGACTGCGTCGATCATCAATCGGAGTCATCGATGATGGCCTGGCGGGGGCGAGTTGCGCTAGCCTTGAGGCCCTGCACGACTGCTACGAGGTCGTCCGTCAGGTTGTCAAGCGGCATCCACGAGTTCTTGCTTGCTGGGTAGCCCTGCCACTTGATCTGTCACTCGTCGCGCCGCGCCCGATTGTTGAAGCGATACTCGAGGATCTTCTCGACCTCAGAAGTGGACCTTTTGAACTAAGTGTTGCGCAGCTGGCCAGGAGCAGGAGCAGGCCTCTTCAGCTGCTGCGTGCTGCTGCGACTTGTAGGACTCCCAGTCGTCAGGGTGCGTCCGGTTGTTGTGCCCATACTTTGCGATCATGTTGTCTTTGCGCCCCTCGTACACATTACGCGAGTCGAGCAAGCCAGCGCCGAGAGCATCGAGGCAGATGGGGCAGTGGACGTGCTCGGCCGCCTTTGCCTCCGTGAACGGCAGGTACCCGATCTGCTTGTCACCGATCGTGTAGAAGTGCGGCAGGCGGCCTCCCTCGTCTCTTTCTTCCATCGCTTCGTCGAAGCATACAGTAGCTAGCTATATTTCAGTAATTCTTTTATATTAAATCAATGGAAACAAACGATGATGGGCTCAAGGTCTTCTTTTATTTAATAAGCAAAATCGGTGGGTGCTTAAATACTGTCGGGTGTTGCTAATATGTATAGCTATATTAGCTAAATTAGCCTGTATATGTAGTATGAGTGTACGCGTTCAAACCATTAGCTTGTATGTGACAAACATATAACTAACTTGTCACCTAGCCAGTGTGTTCCCTCAAAAGCCCCAGTGTGCGGCCGCCGATAGGAGGGGTCGGTAGGTCACTTGAGGGAAATTCCAGCCCGGGCCCGCAACACCCTGTTTGTCAAGTTGGTGTTCGTGGCTTAGGGCCTGTAGGGCAAGTTTGACTGCATTGCACTCTGCGTTGGCGACCGTCTGATCTCCGGGGAATGCGCACGTGAGTACATATATGTGCCTCTGGTATTTCTGCCGCTTGTCTGGATTGGTCGGGTGTTAGCACGTAGAAGCACACTGCACTGGCAGCTCGTGCCGGCCTATTACGTCCAGGGTCGATAAATGAGCCGTCGACCCCGACGTGTGAGGTGCATAATCGTGGTTGTGCTGTCGTCGGTGATTGGTGTCTGAGCGCGTGGTGAATGATGTGTGTGGCGTGTCACGAACTTACTCCCCCGGCTCATAAGTCTGGTCCCATGGTTTCCCTACTACGAATGGGAGCCTTCCTGGCGCCCCGCCGGCTGAAAAGTTAGGGCCCAGTCGTATCCCGGGAGGCTCATTTTGGTAGCTTAATATTGCGAACTAAGAATTAAAAATAAGCGCAAATAAATCAATTCATTAAATACATACAAAAAATATAATTTTTAAACTTTTGAGCACTCGGCCGTCTACGCCGCGGGGACCCTGATCTCAGCTGCGCCGCGCCTCGGAGGTGGTACCGCTGGTGTGTAGGAGGGGCTGGTGCTTGCCGGGGGTGCTCCCCGAGCGCGCCATGTCGCCTTTGAGGCGCGCAGGTGCGGCCGTCGCGCCCTCGTTCGCCTGTGTCAGGGTACGACCAGGCGGGTCTTCGGAGGAGAAGGGCATACTGCTCACCTATGAGGTACGCGACGGCTCCCCGGCCCCCCTGAAGGCCCGGGGACCGGGAGAAGGCTCGGGGAGCCATTGCGCGCCTCATAGGTGAGCAGTGTGTAAATATTTAGAAATACGTCCGTCCCCTGACAGGTCTCCACAGGGCCCAGTGTGCCCTTCTCCTCCAAAGACCCGCCTGATCGCACCCTGACACAGGCGAACGAGGGCGCGACGGCCGCACCTGCACGCCTCAAAGGCGACATGGCGCGCTCGGGGAGCACCCCCGGCAAGCACTAGCCCCTCCTAAAAACCAGCGGCACCACCTCCGAGGCGCGGCGCGGCTGGGATCCGGGTCCCCGCGGCGTAGACGGCCGGGTGCTCAAAAGCATAAAAAATTGCCATTTTTGTATGCATTTAATTAATTAATTTATTTAGTTGCGCTTATTTTAAATTCTTATTTGGCAATATTAAGCACCAACAATGAGCCTCCCGGGGTTGACGACTGGGACCTAACTTTTCAGCCGGCGGGGACGTCGGGAAGGTCCCCGTACGTAGCAGGAAAACCATGGGACCAGACTTATGAGCCGGCAACCTCACCTCTACCACCAGCATCCCTGCTGCCAGGACTAACGCCTGACGTCGACCAAGTCAGTGAGTGAACAAAACCTGTTGAACCATGCTGAGCCGCTATATATTGACTGATAGGGATTCAAGCTGGCGTCTGACTGTTCTGAATGTTTTGCTGGTCTGAGCGCTGCGTCGCCCATTGCCTGCTGCGTGCCTTAGTCGGCTGCGCTGGCTTGGGCGCCACCGCGCGTGCCGATGGATCTCCGGTAGTGTGCCCGGGCAAGGGCGTTTAGGGAGATGATCTGCTGGTTGCTGTTTGTCGTGTTCCCAAGCTGGGCAGCGATCGGGGCCAGCGCGCTCAGTATATTCCATTGGGCCGCATATGGTCATGGTGAGTGCGGGCATGATCAACCTCAGGATATTGCTACGTTGCTTGTCCTTGAGGGGCAGAAACACTGTTAGGTATTCTTCTGTGATAACCGCAGCCGCTGGTAGGGAGGTTTGGAGTTGGATGAGCGTATCCCGTACGTTGGCGCCTCCAGTTCGCAGTATCTTCTTCTGCTTCGCTTACAGCCTGTTCTTTTTTCAAAATTTCAAAGGCGGCTCTTCGAAGGCCGCCAGAAATTTTATTTTTGAAAACAGGCTGGCATCGCTTAATATTCCCAATTGTCCGTCCGTGCCCTTTTCCCAATTGTCCGTCCATGTCGCAAGGGCAGCTGCTGATTGCACAGGTTTATGTTATCGTTCATCCATGCTGCCTGATTTGGTCCGAAGTGAGGCGGCCCGTACTTTGCTTGCGCTTCGATTGGCCAAAGGTTAGCCGGTGGTCAAGGTTGTTGCCCATAGGGTCACCTACGTTCTCCGGTCTGCGTAGATTCAACTGCTCCTGGACGTGTTGCGGGAGGCTGCGGGCATGTGTGATTGTCGCATTTCGTAGTGCTAGGGATTCGTGGCACAGTCCTGTTTAAAAAAAGAGGCGGAGCAAAAGGTAGAGTGAGAGGGCGCAAAACTGACCATGCGAGGACTTGAACCCCGAGTCTCCTCATCCGAAGTGAGGCGCCTTATCCGTTAGGCCACACGGCCATGGGGTGAAACGAACATGTCCGGAGCAACTATTAAACCGCCTTGCTGAGAGGACGTAACAAATACATATAAAATTATTTCTTAAATGATTCGCAGTTGGCATTGAGGAGCGATTGTGGTTGCGTCAAATACGTTCTAAAAACACTGCTTGGAGAGCAGCCGAAAGCGGACGCGCGGGGGACGCCGATGGAGGCCCTCCGCGTCGACTTCCCGCGCCTCGCTGGTCCGGCCGTCCGCACGCTACCGCTGCTTGCGATCGTGGCGCACACGTTGCTCTGTCCGCACACCAAGGTGGAGGAGTCCTTCAACCTGCAGGCGAGCGTTGCCCCCCCCCTTCCCTACCCCCACAACCCAATACACCAAGGTGGAGGAGTCCTTCAACCTGCAGGCGAGCGTTGCCCCCTTCCTGCGCCCCACTACTCCACCGCCCATCCCCTCCGCCCTCCGCTCAACGAA